ATCCTATAATAATAATTTTCACAATTGTGATGAAAATTGCGATAAAAATATTAAGTACATTTCCAGTATAATTATACAGCTGACAACAATGATACAATTAGACTGTGAATAGACCAGGCTTCATCTAGAAATGTAAATAAATAAGTCCCCTTTATTTAAATGTCCTTGCAAATTTCTGATTTGACAGTCGAGTTTGCCATGAAAATCGAGCTCGAGAACGTGGTGTCAGATTTATCATACCTTTAGTAGTTTCTGAGATAACCTGAAATCCCATCGAAAATGGACCAGCCTGTACATCAGTTCAACCTACTAGCATTGAAACAAACCTTCATACCGGCTACCTCTTAAGATGCCTATCTTTTTCTTACCTGAGCGCCCTGCTGAGCTTATCGTAGTTCATGTTCGGCTTGGATTTCCGTTCACCCCACCTGCGGGCCACCTCATCGGGGTCGGTGAGTTTGAACTCCCCATTGGTGCCTTCCCACGTGATGCACGTCGCATTCGACGAATCGTTGAGCAGTTCTAGCAGGAATTGCCACAGTTGGATCTGGCCGCTACCCTGCGCCACCAATCGGCTGGTGGCCGCATTCAGCAGCTGATACGGGTCTGCTGAAAGCGAGAAACCATGTTTTTTAGCGGCTTTCCAAAGATATTTTATCTCAGGATAAAGTTATAACAGGATTAGATAAAAGAGATATCCTGGATTCACAGTTATTTTTTTTAAGAATTTAGAATCATAATTTATGCAGTAATCCAAGAAACAATAAATTTTAGCTCTAATACTTATCCATCATATAATTTTTTGTTCTTATTTTAATTACTCTATTTTAAAGAAATTCACTCCATATCTGATTTTCGGAATCTGTACACAAAGTACAGATACAGAGTGTTACGTGTACATTGGACTACTACAGACTCATCAACTTATCTACCTCTATACAAAGTTGCTTCGTCTAGACTAGAGAATATTTTTGTTTTTTTTTCCAAATAACTCTATAAAAGCTTTGGCCGATTTAAATAAAATTTGGTATGTGTAGATATACAGGGTGTCCCGTAAAGTATGTTACAAATTTTGGGTGGTGATAGTACATAAAAAAATATGACTAAAAACTCTAATAAATTTTCTGAAAAGATACAGCAAATATCATAAGATTTTTAGAAAGACCATTGAATTTAGAGATTTTTTTGTCTCTTGCATTTTTTATGTAAAATGATTAGTTTTCTAATAAATTTACAAAATGCAAAGGGAGTTTACTAGGTGTTAAATTTGACGTATTCAAAAAGTAGGCGCCTGTCACTTTTAACATAGTTGACATTTGTTACCATATTTTAATCGTGTCTGTTGACGAATTATTAATTTGTGAGTACAATGGCGGATAACAATCGTTTTACTAATCAAGAATATGCCGAAATGCATTTTATTTATGGATTATGTAATGGAAATGCAACAGCTGCTCGAAGAACATACATAGAACGTTATCCGCAGAGACGTCAGCCGTCTACACAATTATTTACTCGGATTCACAGACGGATTATTGAAACTGGTAGTGTGGTACCCCGTTACATACATTGTGGTAGAATTGCTAGAAGACTACCCGCGCAAGATGAACAAATTTTGAGATCTTTTGAACAAAATCCGGGAGAAAGTGTGCGAAGGGCAGCTAATCAGTTACAGCTTTCCAGAATGTCAGTTTGGCGTGTTTTGAAGGAAAACGGCCTTTATGCCTACCATCTCCAAAAAGTGCAACATTTAATGCCTGAAGATCTTCCCCGACGCCTAGAATTCTGCCGAATAATACTTAACCATCACCAACATAATGTGGAATTTATTAGCTCCATTTTATTTACCGATGAAGCCACCTTTACACGAGATGGTTTACTGAACTTGCACAATGCACATGCATGGTCAGACGAAAATCCTCATGCTACCATTGATAGTCATCACCAACACCGATTCTCAGTCAACGTATGGGCTGGAATAATAGGTGACTATTTGCTCGGGCCTTTCTTTCTACCTCAAAGGCTTGATGCAGTAGAATATTTAAACTTCCTAGAAAACCATCTCCCTGAGTTAATGGAAAATGTTCCTTTAAATTTGAGACAATACATGTGGTACCTCCATGACGGGGCACCTGCGCATTTCAGTGTTCATGTTAGAGAGTATCTACATATGCGGTTTCCTAATCGATGGATTGGAAGAGGATATAATGCACCAATAGCCTGGCCACCGCGATCACCGGACTTGAATCCTGTCGATTTTTATCTTTGGGGACACGCGAAATCTCAAGTTTATGCAACCCCTGTTGATACAGAAGATCAACTTAGACTGCGAATTGTAGAAACCTTTAATTTAATAAGAAATAGTCTATTCATATTCCAAAGAGTCAGATTTAACTTTATAAAGAGACTGACAGCATGTATCGATGCAGAAGGAGGTCAATTTCAACATTTATTATAATAACATATTTTGTTTTAGTTCTGTTTTGGTTACTTAATTAAAAAAATTATTTTGGAAATTGATTGTATTCTTAAAAATTCACTAGGCTTAAGAAATGTATGTAAATAATTCGGAAGCACTCATCTCTCTGCATTTTGTAAATTTACTAGAAAACTAAACATTTTACATAAAAAACACAAGAGACAAAAAAATTTCTAAATTTAATGGTCTTTCTAAAAATCTTATGATACTTGCTGTACCTTTGCAGAAAAATTTTTTTTAGCAAAAAATAGGATACAGGGTGATAAAAAAACACCCTTCTGCTTTCTCGATTTTATTCATATCCGCATTATTTATTGATTTCCTAAAGCTGATTAGCCCCTGAAAATTTCATTAAGTTTTCTTTTTCCAACAAAGAGTTACGTCATAAAAACTACTTTTATAGTTGCACCTTTGAAGGTCTGTAACTTCAAAATGGTGCGTTTAAGAGGTTATGTTTATTAGAGTTTTTAGTCATATTTTTTTATGTACTATCACCACCCAAAGTTTGTAACATACTTTACGGGACACCCTGTAGATGTCACTTTGTGACATAGCAGTCATTTACAGAAATGGGAAATATGCTTAGGTATATCCTCCACACTTGTTTTGTCACAAAAAATTAAACTTTCTTCAAATTTAAGTTTTTTGTACAGTGTTTGTTTCCTTAGTACCTAATCATCAACGCTAAATGAAACAACTTTGGATAAAGTTAAAGTTTAATCAAATATATTTATGTTTACCCTTAGAATCAGTAGAGGTTCCATGTAGGTATACAAAAAATTGGGACAGCCTATACCTACAGGGTGAGTCATTAATAATGATACACAGCTTAATGGCAGATTGTTAACGTCAAATTCTAAGAAAGTGCATTGAAGTTGGTGGTTACATGGAGAATTTTTTATGTTTAATAATTTTTTAAGGTATGCATAATGAAATTTTCAGTTGCTGTAATGTTTGTTTTAATTTTTAATGCAGGCTTGGGTGTCTTAAAAGACCTGCTAATTTTCAAATTTAATTCCCGCCGAATCTCAAAAACTTGAAACGTCTGTATCCCGATAACGGTTATTATTTAAAATTGAACGTAGTTCAATAATTTCTAGATAGAAAATTCAAAATTGTAAAATACAAAAAGTTAGACATATTTTTACATTGATAGGACAGTATAACTAGCACCCTCTAGACGAGACCCCAACACTGTTTGCATATTCGTATTTGCAACCTCAAAAAACGTAAAACTCCAAATTTTCAAAACAATCGGTCCATACATAGGTATCTACATAAAATATAACAAAAAATCGAAAATATTTTTTCAACTTTAACACCCTGTAGAACGAAAAGGAGCAACAATTGATTGAGGCATGTTTGGTTCAATCGATATATTTTGACGTTAACAATCTGTGTACCATTATTAATGACTCACCAAGTATACTTAGATACAAAGCTTTGTTCTTAATTTTCTGGGACGCAGATTGTAAACAGTGCCTGATTTTTTGTACTTTCGAAGATTCCCTTTCAAAAACCATTGAAAATGCCACTAGCAAATAAAAAAACCTAACTCAACTCCCAATTAATTTTTGAAATTATTTAATAAAAAAGTTTTTTTGCAGTACACAATGCTATACTTAGGTATGTCGGTTGGAAAATGCATGGAATAGGTATATATATACAAAACACTGGAAGTACAGCGCACAGATGTCACTTAAGTATACAGGGTAATTCACTGTGACGGTTACCAAAAATGAAACATTGTATTCTTTGGTGAATTTTAAGGGGAGTCTTTCGTATAAAGTTTTTATCTAGGACGCTTCGTTAAAAAGATACAGGGTGTTAAACTTCAAAAAATATTTTTTTATTTTTTTTAAATAATATAAAAACTAGTGAAATAATAGTGGAGTCAAGATAGCTTAAAATTACGCATTATTTCGAAATAATTACGGGAAACATGGATTTTCCTAAAACCTTTTGAAATTACTTGGAGATAAGTATTAGAAAAAAGTTATAAACTTATTTTTGTACGCTAATTGTTTTTTAATTGTTTAAACAATAAAAATAGTTTTTTTAAGAACATTTAAAATAATTCAATGAATTTTAAATCGAATTCTTTCAAATTGACAATATAGGGGTTTTCGATGTCGCTGAACAAGAATATGGTGTCGGAAAATGAAAATTCAAAATGGCTGATCCAATATGGCCGACTATTTTAAACAATTTATAATTGTTAAAATTATCGATTTTAAATCAAACTCGCTCATATTTGTAATATAGAGGTTCGAAAAATGAAAATTATAAACGGCTAAAGAGGTTTTATTGAAAATATGTTTATTTTTTAAAAAACAAATTTATTACAAAATAATTAATTTTTAAATCTCATCGAGTTCTTGCTCTTCTTCAAAAATATCTGGGCAATTAAGGCCAATAAAATTGAAAAAAAAACACTGACTTTAAATACAAAAGTACAAAATCAAAATCAACGTCCCCTATTATTTATTTATTCATTAATTATTTTAAAAATGGATCAATATTCATATAGGTATAAATATTAAACTCATACATTTACAGGTTTATCATAAAAGAAAACGAATATAAATAAATTAAATGCAAACTGAAGATTATTTGTAATATTAAGTAGGTAATAATATTACATTAAAGAATTACAAGTGTACGAGAGTATAACCTCAAAATGGACAAAATATGTGAATAATACACTTTCTAACACACTGATAACTGCAGCTTACTCGAAAAACGCATTTAAAATAGATAAAACTGTAAGTAACATTCAAATCAAAAGTATACGGTTCCATTTAAAATTTTCAACTTGACCTCTGAATGACCTTCAAGGTCATGGTCAAGGTCACCGCTGGATTGCTCACTCAAAACCCTGCAACTTTTGTCCTAATCATTTTTTTGTTTGAGCAATATAGAGAGCGAGATAGAAAAAGAAATCCAGTGGGTTGAGGTCCGGTATTTTCAGTTCGTGTTTTATTTTTTACTCGAAAATCAGGCGTTTTGTGAAAAACATAAGAGAGTTCCTAGTAGTTTATAGAAAATGGAAAGACGAATCCGTAAACATCATGATTGTTAATATACAGCAGTGGCGTACTATTTTATTTAGAAAAATATGTCACTAGTA